TTCTGTTTCAGAGACCGCCAGGATCAAGAAACGAAAACAACGACACACACACATACACACCCCCATACCCTCCTTACCACTCCCTTCCCGCGCTAGCCTAAGGGCCACCTTAGCAAAGCGCATCCCAGGCTGCATAGCCGCACTACTCTACCCATCCAAAACATGACACCACCCCCGGGGTTTACACAGACGAGCCGGCGAAGCAAGAAGAGCGCCAAAAGAAAGGGTCCTAGACGGCGGGGCCCAGCCAGGACAAAAGGAGGTCCCACAAAGCGCCTACACCGGCCGCATTTGCGGTCGGGGTAGACGACGGATGGGGCCCACCTACGAAGGCTGTCCAGGCCTACACGAGATGAGGCAGGATAAAGACGGATAATCCCCCTCGATCCCAAATCATTGAGGCCAATTTCTAGCCATGGAATAATGGCGCGAATTCACGAGAGGCGAAAACAAAGAGCCAGTTCTATGGTTTATGGTTGATCGCAACCTCCACTTTGGCAGATGTTGACAGGTTTGATTTGACAGTTCTTTGTAGGTTAAGTCCAACCCAATCCATACAAATAAATGGTGTTTAAAGTTTGTGTATTATATTATTATGCTAAATACTAAATTAAGCTATATATTATTAGTAATAATCTTTGTCAGTTCAATAGCAATAATATATCAGATTCAATTAACTAAATTGTATGACAGATTGATAAAACTAGGTGTGTTATTTTATAATTTATATTTTAAGAAACAATTTTTGAAGGAAATTTAATATACTTATTTTTTAGAGCGTATTCAAGAGAAATATGAAAGTTCAAATAGCAAAAAGGAGGAAAAGGATTTGGCACTTGAAAGCAATGTAATGGTTCTTTATAATCGAGTACCAAAGACAGCTTCCACAAGTTTTGTGGGAGTTGCATATGATTTATGTAAAAGAAATAATTTTCATGTTCTACATGTAAATATAACTGCAAATAACCATATGTTATCTTTAGAAAATCAACTAAAATTTGCCAAGAATATTTCAAATTGGAATAACATTAAACCTGCATTATATCATGGACATTTTGCTTATTTGGATTTTTCTAAGTAAGTGTCACTTAATTGCCATTTAGTAAATAATACCTTCCTGAAGAATTTAAAATATTTTCATCACTTCGAATATTTTCGATAAATATCGACTAGCTTGTCTATGTAGTTATTTTTTAGCGTACTTAGATACGCAAGTATGAGGCAAGGGGGAAACTACAGGTGTACAAGCTTGAGTAGTAATGTTTAAGTAATACTGGTAATTTGAGTAATCCTTCAGTAATATTTATGTATTAAAATAATCATTTATTAATTATTTCTGTGTAATACTTAAGTAATTAATTATGAAAATGTGTATTTTAATATACAAATTTTGGGCAACAGTTTCCTCCTTGATACAAGATAAGAAGCTACCTCTTTCACAAATATATAATTTTATTATTTTAAACTAAGACTTTGTTATAATACCAGGTTATCAAGGCACTCCCTACTTTTTTTTAATATAGATTTTTACTTTACAACAAATTCATAGCAAATTCTAACAATCGAAATTTTATGAAAATATGCTAAATATTTTGAAAAACAATTCAGTTTTATTGAAAAGGCAAGTATTTTATTAATATTGGAGAAAGTCTTCTCCATTTTCATTGACACCATTTAGGTTTGTTTATAATAATAAACTAATTAGATTAGTGGCATGCCTCTGTTTTTCGTTGAATTTTATTAGGGCCCCACATACGTAAGGGATTTTTTAAATATTTATTCCACCATCCAGATTTGTCGGATTGCATCTGCTGATTTGGTCTGCCAAAGCACAGATAGGTTGGTCTCCATATATGTAAAAATCGAATAGCTCATATTTGTCATATATTATGTCTTTAAGGGGACCGGCATTTCGGGTAATTAGTTAATCCTTTGAAATCTGAAAGATCTGGATGGCGGGATAGATATTTTAGAAGTGCTTTCAAGGGAAATCGCTTGTGGATTTTGATTGACGACAACAAACTATCGACAAATGTCAACAGTTTGTTGTTATTGTTGTGAATGTGCAATATACCAAATATTTTTAAAGATTATAAAAATAAGGAAAATTTTACAAAATTGGATCTACTTCTTCTGGATCCAGAAAAAAATCTGGTTGTATGCCTTTAATCTAACATCTAAATCTAAAATTCACTAAAAGTAAATTTCAGTAAAATTCCGTAGCATTTTTTTTTGTCTAATCTGTTTAAACAGATAAACTTATTTTTAATGATGCTTTTAATCTATATTTTGAACTTTTGAAAGTAATGATAAAAATATCCGATCTCTTCATTTGTGCGCTCTGGCAGAATAGAACCTGCTTCGATTTGATCTGCCACAAATTGGAAGTTTCACTGATCAAAATTGTTACAGTCCAATAATGCTAATATCGATGGAGGGATCAACTACAGATTTGGTGGTGGGACAGATTCTTCAGAATTCCTTTACATGTATGGGGCAATTAAAAAATATAACGTCTAGATTTTTTTATATTTTGTTTTTTTTTCAAGAATAAAAGTAAAATGCATTTTTCTAAGCATTGAATGCACAAAAAAATAGAATGAGTCGCCGATCTGTCATCAAATTTGATTATTCAGTTAGAAATGTCTTTTGACGTAAAGTTACTGATTAAAGGTAACTGATTTTCAAGTTTAGTTGTTCAAAATGAATTAAATAAATAGTGAAACGTAAAATATGCATTTTGTTTATGGTCATTAGCATCCAACTTTTTGGAGAATGTCAAGAGTCTCGAAGAAAGTGGAACTTTTATAAAAGCTACCTCTCAGAACAGTTGCTGTAAGTAGATCAAATTTTCCACAAAATTGAGGATTTTCTACAACAAGGAATGCTATGAGCCCAAACATCCAGTCAATAGTTTTCAGGGTACGTACTGAAGAGCCAGCCTTTATAACTATAACACGGACATTTACTTTTGCCAAATAATTTACCAATCGATAACAGAAAGAATGAGGCAAAATGCTCACTTATTAGCACAAATATGGTTCATGGATGAGACAGATTTTTTCCAGATATGCTACAGTTAACTTTTGTAATAATTACATATAGCCCATATGATGAAGTCTCATTCGCAATATTAAAAAGATATCATCAACACAAATTTCCAATTTCTATTCTTTTTTCCAGAGTAGTTAATTGGAAATGTTCATTGCCATATTTTCAAGCATTTCGAGTAAGAATGCAACTCCACTCATTTCAGTTTTGTTGCTCTCCAATAAATTTGGATGACGTGCATTGAAATAATTAGATAGGTCAGGGAGTCATATAACCCCGTCGTTGTCTTTAACTAAAATTCATTCGATTTTTTTATAGAACCTAAATTACCATTTAATTTTCTGTTTCTCAGCCAGTGCGGATGGCATACATTGTTGTTGGAGAAAATCATTTTCAACAACTCATAACTTTTGGTGAACTAGAAATTTTTGAAAGATAATAGTTTTTAATTACTAGAATAAGTAGATCTTTTATTATTATAAACAAACCTGGATGATTTTAATGAAATTGGAAGACTAACTTTTCCATATTGATGAAACACCAATTTCTTATTGTAATCCTCTGTATCTCAAGAACGATATTTATAGGAATTTTTTTTTAATATACAGGATGTTATAGGAAACTAGACGTGCTATGATTATGCATGTAACAAGAGCTGTCACATTTCATTTGACATAATTTTTCAGTTGTCTATTTTCATAAGACATAGCCTGCATTGTTATGGAAACAATAATCTTTATAAATACTCAGATATTTGGAAGTAATAAAAAAAAGAAACATTGCAGTTATCAAAATGTAGCAAGTCCATTTTTAATGACAAGCTTGGTATAGTTTTCCAATTGAATTTTGGCTTGGACTACGTCGATGTTATTTAGAGAACTAAATAAAGGAGGATGTTCTAGCACAAATTGTCTATTTTAGCAATGTAATCCTTATCTTGTATATGTTAGTTAGCTTATTTGTTTTATTTGTCTGTTATTGTTTATCCTTAAGTTCTCTGTCTGGATTTTATATTTTGATTGCTCTATGTTATGTAGTATTTATATTTTTTATATTTAATGTTAGTTTGTCTTTTTTTTTAAATTTAGTTGAGGTTTTCTGTTTTACCTTATCCTATAATTGGGACTCTGTCCCGTTGTATATTGTAACTTCTAAATAAATAAATAAATAAATAAATAAATAACGTGAAAATGAAAAAAGATAATCGACCTCCGATTTGCATATTTGTTTTCCTTAATAAATGGTCTATTAAGCCATGAAAAAAACCTATATTGTTGCATTTAATTTTTTTAGTAAACGGAGACAATTGCTATGGTAATAACAAAAAAAAGTTCAAACGAAACTTGTGAAGGGTTTAACAGTGTATCTAAAAAGTGTATTTTCAACTTAGGTCATATAAGTGAAATTTCGAAAAAACAACAATTTTCTGTAAAACTAACAGTTGTGCTCCCTATCGGTGAAGTTACAAAATTGAAAATATTTTAAATCAATTTATTTTGGCTGTGTTTGTTAATAGATTTTTTACCCCATAATCGTAGCACGTCTAGTTTCCTATACGTCATACAATAATGGATTACCCTGTATATATACATATTAAAATTCTATAAAATAATATTCATTTATTTCCCTTATAGTTAGTAACTTAATTTTATTATTGGTTCTAGATTTGGGATGCCCAATCCATTATATATAAATTTAATTCGTAAACCTTTAGACAGATTTATTTCTTATTACTACTTTGTTAGATATGGAGATGATTATAGACCACATCTAATTCGTCGAAAACATGGAAACACTATGGTAAACAGTGTGATAAAGAGACTGACATGTATAATGGGTACATTTTTTTATTTTAGTCTTTTGATGAGTGCGTCTTGAAAAAATTACCAGACTGTGATCCAAATAATATGTGGCTACAAATCCCTTTCTTTTGTGGTCATTCTGTAAATTGCTGGTAAGTTATATATTTTATCGAAGCTTAAGTGAACTGAATTAGTTTTGTTGTTTTTAATAACAAACAAAGAGTTTTTAGATTAATTGGCTAAAATAAGAAAAAAGGTCGTATGAAGAAATATCTGGGAATGTTTTATTTTCAAGATACCGAGTTGAAATTTGAAAAAAATTGGACTTTCTAGAATATCTGACATTTGACTGATGAAATTTAAGCTAATGATTTATCTAATTAGAACTGAAAATCTAAAATGCTTATCAGTACAAGTTACTACTACTAATAGCTCTAGAAATTCTGTCACTGGGCATTTAAAAATTTATAAATCACTGCTCGTCACTCCTAATGGTGTTTGTAAGAAAAAAAGTTCTCTTCCATTTTATTCAAAAGTGAACTGTTTCTGATTATTTTTTTTAACTTACATTACCATATCTATAATACATAGATACATACATATCTTGATTTAAATAAATAGAGATTAGAATGAATATCGTCAAAACAGTTTCTATCAGTTTAAAAATTATATTTTTACCAAAAAATTTACAATTTGCTAATATCTCTGCTTGTATCCCAAATAGTAGAAGATAGGCCATTATACTATATACAGGGTGTTCCACCTAAGAGGGATTCTTCTGTAACCCTGCAACTGTAAAATTTATAAAAAAAATGGTTTTAATAAGTTGCCTGGAATCATGAGGGCCATGTAAAGAAAATATTTTTAGCTTTAAAGAGTGTTCTATCTTGTGTGGGCGCTACATAACTTTGGTATTTTAAATAGAACACCCTGTATATTATTGCATTTTTGAATTCCTTGGTTAATATTAGGTAGAGTTTATTAAATGTACATGAAAACTTACCGTTTTCGAGATATTCAGTTGTTTTTGAAAAAAATCAAGATTTCAGCTTTCTAAATGAGGCTAGATAGCATCTAAACCGTAAGAGTTAGAAACCTGCGGTTTTCACAGTTCGTTTTGGCATAAATTACTTTATCTTGTCATCTGTGAGCAAAACATGTACCTTATTCAGACTCGGAAATACTGAGACCTAAATTTAATAATCTTACGAGTTGAAAAACTTTTTTTTTCAAATGGAATCACCCATATTAATTGTCATGGGTAAATGCAAAATTGAATGCCCTTTCGACTGGTATAAGGTTGTCCATACTTATCTTTAACAGTTTTCTAGAAAAATCAGGTTCTTTTCTAAAGTCCCAAAAAGTAGCTATCACTGGTACAGATGTTAATGTTAGTGTGGATGTACAACATCACGCCTGTACCAGTTTTCTTGAAAATAAACACTTGCATGTGTGTAGACAAATCTAATGCTCATTATTGTTTATACATTAATGAACATATGTACATGTATTAATACACGTATGCTCGTGTGCTTTATAACACTTTCCTATATTTTTAGAGATTAATTCATTTGTATTTTACTTTGGACTACACTTCAGAACACAATAGGATACATTATGTAAAATAAAATTTTTAGCTTTAAGTAGTGAAAAACAATAATTGAAATTGAAAGATGTATATACATTTTCAGGAAACCAGGGAACAAATGGGCTTTAAATGAGGCAAAAAAGAACCTGATAAATAAATATTTTTTAGTAGGCTTAACAGAAGAATTAGGAGACTTTATTTCTGTTTTGGAACAATCATTACCGAGGTTATTTAAGGGAGCAAGTGACCATTATCTAAATAGCAACAGGTCCCATTTGAGGCAAACTGTGCAAAAAGATATCCCTTCAGAAGAGACTGTGAAGAAGATAAAAGAAAGTCTTATTTGGCAAATGGAAAATGAATTCTATGAATTTGCATTAGAATATTTTCACTTTATAAAAAAGTTTGGCTTTAAAAATAAGTTACAAAATGTGATGTATGAAAAAATTAGGCCAAAAGGTTAAATTGTAAATTATCCACTAAATTTTGAAAGTTATCTCATGCCACATGAAAACAGTTGTATAGATTTATATACAATTATGTTTATTAAACAAATGAAAAGAAAGTTCATTGTGAAATATTTTCTCTGTGAAAAGGATAGAAGGAATGGAATGTGATTTATGTATACATACACATATCTAATAAACAAACGACAACACATGCATTACTATTTAGTCAGAGATATTAATTTTCAGTTTCTTATAAATACTTGTTCTGTATTTACATACATATAGTACATATTAATGTAGTAACAACCATTAGGAAGTTTTTTCATATGAATTAAAAGTAAGGATTGGTTCATATCAGTATAATGTCTTTATGATATTCGATAACTAATAAAAAGTATCTGTCTAGTTTGAATTATTCTTGTTAATTACAAGTATCAGTTGGATTAAATTTAAATTTAATTATATTGACACTTTAATTTCTATTGAACTCATATTCTCATTACTCGTATAGTAATCAGGCAAGTAACCAGTTCCATGAAATAGAATGGGATAAACATGAATTGATAATTCTTTTCTAAATTCAAAAGGCACATTATACGGGTTTGTACTGGACTGATGGAATCTCCCTTACAAGGTATAGGTGTTTATAAGTAAATGCCACGACTATTGGTTCTAGATTCCACTAATGGCACTATAATTATACAGGGTGATTCAGAACTTATCCAAAAAAAAAATTCTGGATGTACAGGGGACCCTTACAAATACAATTTTGTAAAAAAAAAATCAAAAAGGTCAGTTCGAAATTGATTTAAAAATACACTTCTGCACGGCACTGGAAACTGGTCCACTGTAAAACCTGACCTCGCACAATGCGACCGGTATGGCGGCGTGATAAAAGCGGACAAAAACTTTCGCAAGGAAAGAAATATGTAAATAGAATTTTATCGCACCTATTTTATATCGGCAAATTCAAATGCTTTTGCCTTTATTAATTATTAATAAAATTAATTTGTGTTTTTAAATAATAAAATCATTTGACATACCCGATGCTGCAACAGCAATTGTTCAAAATTTTATCCACTCACGTGTAAACACATTTGGGTCCGTCTTACTCACTTTCTACGAACTAACACAAATGATGTCTTGCTTCACCATAACACAAATACTTCACCATAATACAAATGTTGTCTTGCTTCACCATAAATTAAAACGATATCCATCAACTCTGAGTTGCTATACACGCAAGCCATTTTTGACACTAACTACTAAAAAACTGATGTAAATACCACAGATAACAGGTAAAAACTACCGCAACGACGGATTTCAGTATTAGGAGTCACATGGCTCTCCACGCGTATTGCGAATGACGCTAGAGACTACAGTTGTCCAGCTATGTAGTGGTTTAATGTGCTATAACTTCAATAATTTTTTTCTCAGAAACTAAGGATTTTACAAAAATTTTTTTTACAATATTGACCCCATTTCTCATACAGCATCTATTCCCAAATTTTTTTGGATAAGTTGTGAATCACCCTGCATTTACTAACTCTTTTATGACCTATGACAATGGATACAGGGTGTTCAGAAACTATGAGCAAAAAATGTTGGGAATGATTTAACTCATAAAAATGGGGATACAATTTTGACACTTTTTCAAAACTCATTATATCTAAATTAACTTTCATAAATTAATATTGTGTCGTATAACTTTCTTCAGTTAAGCAATTTTTTTCAAATTTAGTACAGTTGTTCATTCATAACACAATACACCTACAACGTTCAATAAAAAAAATCATTAACATTTTAATGGTCTAAAGGACATAAACAGTTCTTGTTGACTGGGAAATTAGTCATAATTTTTTTATTTCTTATTTTTCAAAAAACTAAACCAATGAATATCAAATATCATTAAAAAATCTTACAAAAAGTTCCTCTCCTCAAAATATTAACTATTTTCAGGGAACAATGGATTTATAGTTTTGGAGCATAATTCCAAACACTAAAATACATCAGATCGTCTAATTACATTGATTAATTTTAAAAAAATGTGAGATTTAAAAGCAATAATAGTGTGATTTTTTTCGAAATGGTTAATAACTGAAAAAGAACATTTTTTGTAACATTCTTTTATATTTTAATTAACTTATTTGTTTAGTTTTCCAAAAAACTAAACAAAATATTAACAAGTTTTCTTATCAATAAAGACCATTTAAGTTTAGAATTTTAATAATTTTTCATTTGTAAATGAAATCTGCATTAATTGATGTAAGTATCAGGTGCACCAAGTTTGAAAAATAATTGTTTGCAATATGCCATAGACCATTGTGGAGTCAGCCGATTATAGCAGACTGTACTGATTTTATGAAAAACAGATTTTTTTAAAATCTGTTCCAAGATGAGACACACTTAGATATATTTTACAATCAATCACATGTGATGCCCATATGAATATAATGGTTCTAACTAAACGATTAATGATTCGGCTTATTACAAAATTATCCATGTGCACCTAATGTAATGAAGTTATCAAAGAACATTAATTAGAAAAAAATACTTTGAATTTATGTAACAGAAAGTTAGAACATTATTTTATGAGTAGAATAATTATCCTGTAAGTTTTTCACTCATAGGTTTCGGGCACCAGTTGTACAGGGTGTCCCGAAATTCATGCAACAAAATTTGGTCATATTCTTAAGACAAATTTAGGGGACCCATATTTTTTCTTTTTGCCAACTGCCCCCCTGAAATCTACCCCTAAGAAGTCTTTTAAATCTCAAAACCATGTTGTACGAGAATCACTAAATTTGGTACATTGGGATTTTATGACATGTCGAATCTCACAGTGCTACGCTCTTTGGCGAGAAACCACCTTAAGACACTTTTTTGTGGGCCGCCTTGTCTTTGGAACCAGAAAAATTTGGTTGCAAATTTGATTTTTTTAAAATTATTAGCTAGAAAGCCATTGAATTTAAAAAGTTTTTTGTCTCTTGATATTTTTTTCGTAAAACGCAATGTTTTTGAGGAAAATGACAATCACGATATGCATTCGATCACATTTTGACATTTTTCTCGAAAACATTGCGTTTTACAAAAAGAGTATAAAGTGACAAAAAGTTTCTAAATTTATGGCTTTCTAGTGGACTAATAATTTTTAAGAAATTTAAATATGCTACCAAATTTTTTTGGCTCCACGAAAAATTGGCTTAAGGGGGTTCCCCGTCTAAAAACGTAGCACCATCAGATTCCACATGTCATAAAACCCCTGTGTACTAAATTTAGTGATTCTCGTACAACAGGGTTCTGAGATATAAAAAAAAAGATTATTCTTAGGGGCGGACTTCAGGGGGCTGTAACTCCGACAGAAGGGGCCACTTGGCAAAAATAAAAAATATGGGTCCCCTAAATTTGTCTTATGAATCTGTGACCAAATTTTGTTGCATTAATTTCGGGACATCCTGTATAGTAGAATTCTTCTGTCAGTCAAATACTTGGCTAAAGAAATAACTCATTGTGGGAATATCAAAGCTAGACTTCTTGACATGGGCGTCCAGTGGGGGGCAAGCCTCTGATTATTAGTTTTAGTAAAGTAATACTCTGCAGGGAAGGGAAAAAATATTTGGTTATTACTAGTTTATTGATGCCTATTTAATATTACTGTGGATATATAAAAACTGAAAGTAACAGTGGTTCTAGTACAATACCATTATATACTTATATGCAACCTGTCCAATGTAAAGGAATGTAAACAGAAATTTTTAGCTTTAATTATAATTTATGCATACAGAACAGGGTGTTTCCTAAGTAATCATGTTTTTGAAAAAAATAGTTTTAAAGGATGAGTGTATTCTCAACTTATTTTATTTTTATTCCATTTGTAAAAACATTGGATTCATAGACAAAAGGTGCTTTTATTTCGAGAACATAATATGAAGATACATTTCTAGGGTAATAATAAATTATTGTAACATTGACAGCATATGCCACAAAATTTCAGACACCAAATAATGTTTACAAAACAAGTAATTTATTTAGTTTGATTAATTTTTGAGGAAAGAAATATAAACATATAACATCATTCTTATAATATGTATGCTTTTGTGACGCTTACACCTTAATTGAGGACGTGGAAAAAGGCATAAAGAAAAGGGAATTGTTTTGAAAAAATGAGACTATTGGATATATAGGTTTAGAAATGTACTCTTTTCATATGGTGCAAATATGGAATCTGTGGGTTTAATAGAAAAGGAGCTACATAATAAAACCACTTATCTCTTACTACAGACTGGTGTAAGAATGGGATAAGTATATTTTTTGCTACATTTACAAATACAAAAAATATTACAAGAAAAATAAATAATCAGTCTTCTCATAAATGAAATATTGGCATATAAAATCATATTGTCTGTAACCATTTTTGTGATTCACTAACCAGAAAACAAAAAAGTTATTCAAATGGTTGCTTTTACAAACTTACTTTTGTTTAATGACAAATTAAGATGTGCTTCTTAGGCTGATGATGTACTGGAGAAACAAATTTCCTGAAACTTATAGATGAAGCAATCATATGAAGTTTTGTTTCTTGTTCAAAACATACTTCGATGGGGACATAATATCGTAGTGAATAAGCTGTCGAAAAAAATTATTTTGGATATGTTACATCATGTCTACTCCGGTAGTTGAAAATTGTATAAACATGGATGTACACAGTTTTAATAAGTTTTATCTGAAACTCATACCCTCCTTTCACTATTTGTATATTCTAAATTCGATTATGTTTTTGCAATTTTTTTTCTCTTCATACCACTGGTGTTAATTGTCCAAACTCAAGTAATTTGCGAAATAAATAACATGAAACAGCACATGTTGTATTGCATGAAACATGTATATGAAACAAACTACGTTTTCTTGTTTCAGAAAAGCAAGTCTGTGCTTCCTCATTTGAATACATGGGTTAGTACATTACACACATACATTAGTGAAACAAGTTTCCTGTTTTATGCAACGAGTTTCTTGAAATTTGTTTTTCTAATCGGCCTTAGTTTGGCTTATTTCGTGTTCAGCAAAAATAAATTTATAAAATATTAATCCTTGACTGTTTTTTTGTTTACATTTTTTCCTTTTTGTGTAGCAAAAACAAAAAATCTTTATACAGGGTGTAATGGATGCTGATGGTCAAACTTCGGGGGGTTATTATACAAGTAATTTTCAACAAAAAAGTATTATAAGATTTTTTTGGAAAGTCGATATTGCTCTTTTAGTAAACATTTTTTGATTTCAAAAAATTTTGTGCCTTTCTTCATAAAAACAAAAATATCTCAGTTACACTCACATCCACATAAAATTTAGACATACCATCGGAAAGAGCGTTAAATTTACTACAAGACGAGCATATATGAGTGTTTAAAAAATCTTCTATACCAGGTGCTGTAAAAAGTTAAATGTAATAATTGTGAAATGAGCAAAATTAGTGGTATTTCCTTATTAGTGGTAACGCCAAAAATTTTTTAATGAGGACGTGTTTTTTCTTCAGCAAAAACTCCTGTAAATACAGTAAGCTTTTCAACGATATATCAACTTTTGAGTTAGCTATTTTTTTTTTTTTGGCAATATTATCAAGGGCAAAAGTAATAAAACCGTAAAAATCGAAAATACACAAACTGTATAGTACTTTATTTTTATTTTAAGTATGTTCGTATTACTCCATGCGTACAATTTTTGTGAGAGTTTCTTCAAAAAGCTGTTTTTTAACTCTC